TTTTATCCCACGTCAAAGTATTTGTCTCGAGGAGCAATGGTGCTACTTCTGAGCTTGATATTCCAGTAACGGTATGAACTGTAGTCATGACATTTCGTGACCACGTTTAACGCCCTTTTGACATCGAGGCGCGCATTATTTTACAAAATAACTATTACTATTATCTGAGTACAGAAGTTTATTTCTTAAAAAGACTTAAGGATATCATGAAAAAAACAGTAGAAAAGGTTTACTTTGCTGAATACATGAGCGGGTGAAAGGGGTTAGGGGGTAGGTACAAGCCAGTTTTGTTTTTATTGATGTGCGCGATTACTAATATCAATTCTGAGCCTAGTGTAAAAGTAAATTAGATAAAAGTTTTGGGTTGATTACTATCGTCAACTGGCATTTTATTTATTGTTATAGGTAACTCCACCCGGACTGAAAGCGGAACAAGATCTTTTTAAACTTCTTGAAAAATCTCCAAGCCTGTTCGAAGAGCATCTTGACATAATGGATACGCACAGGGTCTGGCAGCTAATGACGGCCATGTTGTTGACAATAGAGACACAAGCATTGGGGAAACACAACTTTTCCAACGCAACAGTATCGACTGAACAGAGGAGTGCTGTAATTATTAAGCTTTAAAGTGTCCTACCTAGATTTGGGATTATGGGAGGAGTGGGGGCCTGATGGTTAGTGTGCTTGACTCCGGGTTCGAGCCGTGACCATTGTGTTGTGTTCTTGGGCAAGACATGTACACTTTACTCTCACACTGCTTCTCTCCATCCTGGTGTATAAATGGGTACTGGCGAATTTAATGCTGGGGGTAACCCTGCGATGGACTAGCATCCCATCCAGGAGGAGTAAAAATACTTCTGGTCGCTACATGCAACAGAAATTTGGATAAACTCCAGACTGATGAACCACTTGGCTCGTATGCAGAATTTTTGTGCTCATGTTGACAGGGCCATCTTAGACATGATGGCTTTTTACAGTTCTATTTGATTTAGGACAAAATAGTACATGTGTAAAAAGCGAGGCAATTTTGAGCTCAAGTCAAGAACTTGGGAAAATTAAGCCAAATCTAGAAAGATATTGTAATGAAACTGATATAGTGATTGCACGAGCTATGATGCGCGTGCTAAGATGTATAACGGTTGTATTTGAATGTATACTCGCGAGAGTTCTAAGACTAAGAGACGGTTATATGGCGAGTACGGGATGTGCAATGTACTCGTAATACAGCGTATTTAAGGGACTCACGTGATGGAGTCGCCTGTGTGTGTTAGTAGACTTGCCATGTACAAGTAAGCTAAACGTTGAGAGTCGAGTAATTAAACCGTTGGCTGTTGGACTCCTTGACTGGAAGTCGTTGTCGCCCGCGCGCGTTACAATATGATTACTAGCTATGATTTGTTTCTTGCAGCTCAGAGACATTGCCCTGAAGCGGTTTCAACTTGCAGAGCTTGATGATCTTCCGAGTGTGGTTTTTATTTCAGCATTTTTAGCAACAGCTGGAAAGACTGTCACCGAGTTATCCTTCCACAGTAAGGTAACATGCTACTTAATTAAATAAAATCCCTGATTTTAATGCCTACTCATTTTGTGAAAAAGTTTTTTCTGAGCATGCAAAAATGTTTGAACTTAGACGTGGACTGTCTCTTGATTAGGAAATCTCAGTATTTAATAACATATTTTCCTCGGCAGAACCTTCTTCCAACAATACTGGGAAACATGACTGATATATTGCTTTCTAACGCGAAGAATATGAACGCCAAAGACGAAAAGTTTATTTTCCAAGGAGTTTATAACTTGCTGTATGGAACAGTTGAGCTGCTTATGGTATCTGCAGATGATGCGGCAGTAAATGGGAACACCAGACTTCTGTCTTTGGACCAAGTGAAGGTACACTTTTGTAAAATGGTTGCAAAGAAAAAGGAGAACTTAGTTTAATTCGAGTTTTATTTTTCTAGGCAAAAGATATTGTTTTGGAGTCGATGAGCATTGTTAAAACGTTGCTCCGCACTCTGGCGATAAGATTAGCAGTATCCCAATCTCCTAAAAAGCTCCGTGTCCCAGGAATGGATGTCATGCTGGGTCGCGAAACGTCCTGCGGACTTCAAGAAAAACGTTTCAACTTTTCAGAGGGTCAGAGCTTTGAACTTCCGCCAAATATGAGGCAAGCCTTTCCCAACGCAGAGGTCGAAGAGACTGAATATCAAGTTAGTATGGTCTGGTTGTTACCGTAATACTGTATTTTATTTTATTAAAACCCATTAATTATAATGCGTTATTGTATGGCTTGTGCTTGTAGACGATATAACGCGCGCTCTGATTGGCTGTAGTTAATAGGTACGGCCTTACCGTAATTCGGCAAGGTGTCGGTTTGAGATTTTTTCATAAAGACCTCATTTTCGGTTAATAAGCAGTTGATAACACAACCTTAAATAAATATTAAAAAGCTACTTGAGTGACTCGCCGAAGATGCATAGTCCAAGAAAGCGTAATCTGGCTTGACATGCGCAGAGTTGTCGTTGATGTGGCGTTTTGTAATAATGTGTGTGACGTTATGTAATCGAGAGAGCGACGTCAGCAAAATCACGTGATACGGGAGAGTTCGACATCGTGCGATTGAGATATGTTTTTGTACTGTACGTGTTTGTAGTCGGCCGATTATTGTATGAGTGTATGTGCGCATAGTTGGTCGGATTATTCACTATTTCCGGCATAATAAAGGACAATTCGCTGTTTAAAGCGCACAAAATTGACGTTTGTTTTGAGTGTAAAAATCTTCAATTTATTGTACATGTACATCAGTTTATTCGTCTGGGGTTGTATTGGGAAAGACGGTCGCTTGGTAGCTTTGGAAAAATGAGTTGATGGGTCAATTTTGTTTTTCCATTTTCGCTACCTCTTGTTATCGTTCTGCTTTTTTTTAAATTCATTGTATTTTTAATTGCCTTGAGGCAAAACGAAAGGCTCATAAAAAAATGTCATTATTGAGTCTTTGCATTAATAGTAGCTTTATTTATGAATTTATTATTTGATTTACTTTAGCTATTTACTTTGTTATTAATTAATTTTTAATTAGTTAAAAAATTAATGTGAACTCTTTTTACAGATGATTCGCACAACGTTCAATCCATATCGCTGGGACGAAAGCCATCAACAAATAAAGTCGGAAATACTGAGTCTTGAATTCTCAGACAATAAAGGAACAGTATTACCCGTTGGAGGAAATAACATAGCTATCGACATCAAAATACCCCTTAATTCTGGAAAATCTTCATCAAATATCTTTTTTATCAGACCATTAATGATGCGATACCACACTTTGGAACTCACAGATATTTCTGATTCTATGATCCTCGAGGTGAAACCAACAAACCTTAGTCTTATGATGGTGGTGTATGTTAAATATGGAGAACGTCCAACTGTAAACAGTTACAGTTATACTTCCATTGTACCTGATTATTCGTCTTGTAACTGGGTCAATAGAGGTGGTCGGTTTGTAGCAAAGTGCTCAAGGAGTCCATTTGAGATTATATCTACTGCGGACTTCAACCAGACAGGTTTGTATTACGTCGGAGTGCTGTACGTCGAACAAGGTCAGTTGAATAGTACTCGAGTAAGACGCTCGTGCTTTGGAAGAAGAAGAAGAAAGAAAAGAGACTGTGTTGAACCAAAGCCACCTCCAGTGAAAGGAATTGAATACAACAGAACATTGACATATAATCCCACTATCGATCAGAACTATAGCGTCAAAGTTCGCAAGTACAGCTGCTACTATTTCTCATTGACGCAGGACAAGTGGACAAAAGACGGCTGTAAGGTTGGTTGAAAAAAACATTCTTGAAATATCCAATGCTTATGAATAAAAATGGTCGTAATTAAATAAAACACAACTTGCAGTAGCTGCCTGCCCCACTTACTGACATACTTAACGGACAGGCCGTATTGTGTTTAGTAGTTCCGCCACCCTAATAATGGTGGTGCATTATTGTGACGTCTAACTACGCGACTTATCATTCGTCAGAATAATACAGCCATTTGTATTACTAACAATAAATCACTTAAAAAAAACATTTTTTTTTTAAACAACAACAAAACAAAAATGTTCTGCCTTCGAAGATAGCTATTTTCCAGATAACCCAACTGGCATGATGGCACAACAATTTCACCTGGAAGAACCATGATCAAACGTGATTTACGGAATATTTAACAAACAATCGAATATGAATTCTTGGTTTATTTCTGTCTAGGTTGGAGATGACACGAACGACCAAATACTACAGTGTCGATGCAATCATCTTACAGCTTTTGGTGGAGGCTTTGTCATTGCTCCAAATCCGATCGATTTTGACAAGGTGTTTGTAGAATTCACTAGACTTGGAGAAACAGGGAATTATGTGGTTCTTGCGACGGTCTGCACTATTTTTGCTGTCTATTTCCTGGTAATAATCTGGGCAAGAAAGGCTGATATGCTGGACGAAAGAAAGGTAAATTTTATAGTTTTAATATACTTCATATTTGAAGACATGATTGGACGATCACATTTATTTCCTTTTGATTTATTTTACCAAATGGAAGTAGTTCTGGTGCCAGTTTTCGAAAAAAAAGAAATGAACAAGGTGAAAGAAGCCAAGTATGCGATTTAGATATACGACTTCCTGCCTTAACCGTGTTACAAACTACGTAGTAAGGGCTGGTTTTTACCAGCGCATATTCTCAATCATATCATGCGCATATGTTCAATCATAGTGTGCAAGATACGCTGACGCAGTAAGGTGCTGTTAAGTAGCAACTATATTATTATAGGACATTTTCCAAACAGAAGGTGCTTCAGGTAGCTATCAACTTCTCGCCTTAAAGGCGCTACTCCTACACGGTTGCCTTGGAAAAAGTACCGTTAAAGATAACACTTTTCCAATTTGTTTGAATCATTGTTTAATATTACATACACGTAATTATCTGATGCATTTCAGGTGAAACTTACATTAAATGTTGAAAATATTATGTATAAGAATATCAGTTTATAGCTAGCAGAATTTGGTCGAGAAATAACGAATGGAATTATTTTTTTCTTGATAGCTGGGCCCGACGATACACGTCAAACCGACTGTCAACGGCACACTCAGGTATTACTTGACTGTAATTACAGGCGTTTGGCGCAATGCTGGGTCGACGGCTAACGTGTTCATTAAAATCTACGGCACTGACGATACTCTAGAGGCCATTGATTTAACTAAAAGCTCTCCACCAGGAAGGAAGATGTTTGGAAGAGGAAGCGTCGATAGGTTTGCTTTCCATCTGGAGAAAACGCTCGGAAATGTAATTAAGATAGAAATGTGGCATGACAATTCTGGGAAGAGTTCATCCTGGTTTCTGGATCAAGTTCGCCTTGTTGATAAATCCACAGGGGAGAAGTGGGATTTCTTCCACAACAATTGGCTTGCACTTCACAAAGGTGACGGATCGACCAAGGTTACCCTAATGTCCAATGATCCAAATCATCACGGTCCTGGACTGAAAAACATGTTTTACTCTGTCTCTTCAGTGGACCTCGCAGATTATCATCTTTGGGCCTCTGTCATTACCAGACCACCGCGCAACCCATTTACACGTGTACAGCGAGCCTCGTGTTGCCTTTCTCTTTTGTATTTGGCGATGGCGTGTAACGCCATGTTTTATCAAGTGACTGGAGTTTCAGATGAAGTGATTCAGATTGGACCATTGAAAATGTCACTACGACAATTGATAATTGGAATTGAGAGTTCATTGATTGTTGCCCCAGCAAGTGTTTTGATAACTGTGTTATTCCGTTACAGAAAGGCTAAAACAATCTCGAGTGAAGAGACCGAAGAAGACAAAGCCACTAGAAAAAGCGTTTCAAAGAAATCCTGGACTAAAAGGCAATGTTTGCTACCTCATGCTTTTATGTATCTTGGCTGGTTTCTCTGTACTGCGGCGATAGCGTCTTCTGCTACTGTAACAGTATTTTACAGTCTTCAATGGGGGAAAGAAATTGCAGATCAGTGGCTCGCTTCTGTAGTTGTCTCTTGTATCAAGGATGTTTTCATCTGGCAACCATGCAAAGTTTTATTCTTTACTCTTTTGTTGATCATTATCTTCAGTAGGCCGAAGTCTCCCGACGAGGTGAGTAATAGCGTTGCATCATCGTTTACAGAGGAGATGAAGGAGCTGCGTGCCTATCAATTACAAAGGGCAACGTTTTTTCGTTTTGCAAGACAGTTTGGCGCCTTTATGGTGTTTTATGTGTTGCTGATGATCGTTACCTATGGGGATAAAGATTATCACCGATATCTCATGACAAAAGGAACTAGAGATAGCTTCACCTACTTTGACAAGGTTTGTGCAGATCATAATGATCATTGCCCATTATTTAAATTAAAGTTGAATTCGATGATGGTTGTTTCGATAAATCATCTAACGTCCATGTTCGTCGTCACATTTTTTTAATAGAATATTTAGTACATATCTCATAGTTTACACAGAGGAAACAGCAGGCATGTATCAGGAGTATGTTAGTCAACAAACTTTGTAGGGATANGTCGCCTGTGTGTGTTAGTAGACTTGCCATGTACAAGTAAGCTAAACGTTGAGAGTCGAGTAATTAAACCGTTGGCTGTTGGACTCCTTGACTGGAAGTCGTTGTCGCCCGCGCGCGTTACAATATGATTACTAGCTATGATTTGTTTCTTGCAGCTCAGAGACATTGCCCTGAAGCGGTTTCAACTTGCAGAGCTTGATGATCTTCCGAGTGTGGTTTTTATTTCAGCATTTTTAGCAACAGCTGGAAAGACTGTCACCGAGTTATCCTTCCACAGTAAGGTAACATGCTACTTAATTAAATAAAATCCCTGATTTTAATGCCTACTCATTTTGTGAAAAAGTTTTTTCTGAGCATGCAAAAATGTTTGAACTTAGACGTGGACTGTCTCTTGATTAGGAAATCTCAGTATTTAATAACATATTTTCCTCGGCAGAACCTTCTTCCAACAATACTGGGAAACATGACTGATATATTGCTTTCTAACGCGAAGAATATGAACGCCAAAGACGAAAAGTTTATTTTCCAAGGAGTTTATAACTTGCTGTATGGAACAGTTGAGCTGCTTATGGTATCTGCAGATGATGCGGCAGTAAATGGGAACACCAGACTTCTGTCTTTGGACCAAGTGAAGGTACACTTTTGTAAAATGGTTGCAAAGAAAAAGGAGAACTTAGTTTAATTCGAGTTTTATTTTTCTAGGCAAAAGATATTGTTTTGGAGTCGATGAGCATTGTTAAAACGTTGCTCCGCACTCTGGCGATAAGATTAGCAGTATCCCAATCTCCTAAAAAGCTCCGTGTCCCAGGAATGGATGTCATGCTGGGTCGCGAAACGTCCTGCGGACTTCAAGAAAAACGTTTCAACTTTTCAGAGGGTCAGAGCTTTGAACTTCCGCCAAATATGAGGCAAGCCTTTCCCAACGCAGAGGTCGAAGAGACTGAATATCAAGTTAGTATGGTCTGGTTGTTACCGTAATACTGTATTTTATTTTATTAAAACCTATAATACCCATTAATTATAATGCGTTATTGTATGGCTTGCGCTTGTAGCCGACATAACGCGCGCTCTGATTGGCTGTAGTTAATAGGTACGGCCTTACCGTAATTCGGCAAGGTGTTGGTTTTAGATTTTTTCATAAAGACCTCATTTTCGGTTAATAAGCAGTTGATAACACAACCTTCAATAAATATTAAAAAGGTACTTGAGTGACTCACCGAAGATGCATAGTCCAAGAAAGCGTAATCTGGCTTGACATGCGCAGAGTTGTCGTTGATGTGGCGTTTNGCTTTGAACTTCCGCCAAATATGAGGCAAGCCTTTCCCAACGCAGAGGTCGAAGAGACTGAATATCAAGTTAGTATGGTCTGGTTGTTACCGTAATACTGTATTTTATTTTATTAAAACCCATTAATTATAATGCGTTATTGTATGGCTTGTGCTTGTAGACGATATAACGCGCGCTCTGATTGGCTGTAGTTAATAGGTACGGCCTTACCGTAATTCGGCAAGGTGTCGGTTTGAGATTTTTTCATAAAGACCTCATTTTCGGTTAATAAGCAGTTGATAACACAACCTTAAATAAATATTAAAAAGCTACTTGAGTGACTCGCCGAAGATGCATAGTCCATGAAAGCGTAATCTGGCTTGACATGCGCAGAGTTGTCGTTGATGTGGCGTTTTGTAATAATGTGTGTGACGTTATGTAATCGAGAGAGCGACGTCAGCAAAATCACGTGATACGGGAGAGTTCGACATCGTGCGATTGAGATATGTTTTTGTACTGTACGTGTTTGTAGTCGGCCGATTATTGTATGAGTGTATGTGCGCATAGTTGGTCGGATTATTCACTATTTCCGGCATAATAAAGGACAATTCGCTGTTTAAAGCGCACAAAATTGACGTTTGTTTTGAGTGTAAAAATCTTCAATTTATTGTACATGTACATCAGTTTATTCGTCTGGGGTTGTATTGGGAAAGACGGTCGCTTGGTAGCTTTGGAAAAATGAGTTGATGGGTCAATTTTGTTTTTCCATTTTCGCTACCTCTTGTTATCGTTCTGCTTTTTTTTAAATTCATTGTATTTTTAATTGCCTTGAGGCAAAACGAAAGGCTCATAAAAAAATGTCATTATTGAGTCTTTGCATTAATAGTAGCTTTATTTATGAATTTATTATTTGATTTACTTTAGCTATTTACTTTGTTATTAATTAATTTTTAATTAGTTAAAAAATTAATGTGAACTCTTTTTACAGATGATTCGCACAACGTTCAATCCATATCGCTGGGACGAAAGCCATCAACAAATAAAGTCGGAAATACTGAGTCTTGAATTCTCAGACAATAAAGGAACAGTATTACCCGTTGGAGGAAATAACATAGCTATCGACATCAAAATACCCCTTAATTCTGGAAAATCTTCATCAAATATCTTTTTTATCAGACCATTAATGATGCGATACCACACTTTGGAACTCACAGATATTTCTGATTCTATGATCCTCGAGGTGAAACCAACAAACCTTAGTCTTATGATGGTGGTGTATGTTAAATATGGAGAACGTCCAACTGTAAACAGTTACAGTTATACTTCCATTGTACCTGATTATTCGTCTTGTAACTGGGTCAATAGAGGTGGTCGGTTTGTAGCAAAGTGCTCAAGGAGTCCATTTGAGATTATATCTACTGCGGACTTCAACCAGACAGGTTTGTATTACGTCGGAGTGCTGTACGTCGAACAAGGTCAGTTGAATAGTACTCGAGTAAGACGCTCGTGCTTTGGAAGAAGAAGAAGAAAGAAAAGAGACTGTGTTGAACCAAAGCCACCTCCAGTGAAAGGAATTGAATACAACAGAACATTGACATATAATCCCACTATCGATCAGAACTATAGCGTCAAAGTTCGCAAGTACAGCTGCTACTATTTCTCATTGACGCAGGACAAGTGGACAAAAGACGGCTGTAAGGTTGGTTGAAAAAAACATTCTTGAAATATCCAATGCTTATGAATAAAAATGGTCGTAATTAAATAAAACACAACTTGCAGTAGCTGCCTGCCCCACTTACTGACATACTTAACGGACAGGCCGTATTGTGTTTAGTAGTTCCGCCACCCTAATAATGGTGGTGCATTATTGTGACGTCTAACTACGCGACTTATCATTCGTCAGAATAATACAGCCATTTGTATTACTAACAATAAATCACTTAAAAAAAACATTTTTTTTTTAAACAACAACAAAACAAAAATGTTCTGCCTTCGAAGATAGCTATTTTCCAGATAACCCAACTGGCATGATGGCACAACAATTTCACCTGGAAGAACCATGATCAAACGTGATTTACGGAATATTTAACAAACAATCGAATATGAATTCTTGGTTTATTTCTGTCTAGGTTGGAGATGACACGAACGACCAAATACTACAGTGTCGATGCAATCATCTTACAGCTTTTGGTGGAGGCTTTGTCATTGCTCCAAATCCGATCGATTTTGACAAGGTGTTTGTAGAATTCACTAGACTTGGAGAAACAGGGAATTATGTGGTTCTTGCGACGGTCTGCACTATTTTTGCTGTCTATTTCCTGGTAATAATCTGGGCAAGAAAGGCTGATATGCTGGACGAAAGAAAGGTAAATTTTATAGTTTTAATATACTTCATATTTGAAGACATGATTGGACGATCACATTTATTTCCTTTTGATTTATTTTACCAAATGGAAGTAGTTCTGGTGCCAGTTTTCGAAAAAAAAGAAATGAACAAGGTGAAAGAAGCCAAGTATGCGATTTAGATATACGACTTCCTGCCTTAACCGTGTTACAAACTACGTAGTAAGGGCTGGTTTTTACCAGCGCATATTCTCAATCATATCATGCGCATATGTTCAATCATAGTGTGCAAGATACGCTGACGCAGTAAGGTGCTGTTAAGTAGCAACTATATTATTATAGGACATTTTCCAAACAGAAGGTGCTTCAGGTAGCTATCAACTTCTCGCCTTAAAGGCGCTACTCCTACACGGTTGCCTTGGAAAAAGTACCGTTAAAGATAACACTTTTCCAATTTGTTTGAATCATTGTTTAATATTACATACACGTAATTATCTGATGCATTTCAGGTGAAACTTACATTAAATGTTGAAAATATTATGTATAAGAATATCAGTTTATAGCTAGCAGAATTTGGTCGAGAAATAACGAATGGAATTATTTTTTTCTTGATAGCTGGGCCCGACGATACACGTCAAACCGACTGTCAACGGCACACTCAGGTATTACTTGACTGTAATTACAGGCGTTTGGCGCAATGCTGGGTCGACGGCTAACGTGTTCATTAAAATCTACGGCACTGACGATACTCTAGAGGCCATTGATTTAACTAAAAGCTCTCCACCAGGAAGGAAGATGTTTGGAAGAGGAAGCGTCGATAGGTTTGCTTTCCATCTGGAGAAAACGCTCGGAAATGTAATTAAGATAGAAATGTGGCATGACAATTCTGGGAAGAGTTCATCCTGGTTTCTGGATCAAGTTCGCCTTGTTGATAAATCCACAGGGGAGAAGTGGGATTTCTTCCACAACAATTGGCTTGCACTTCACAAAGGTGACGGATCGACCAAGGTTACCCTAATGTCCAATGATCCAAATCATCACGGTCCTGGACTGAAAAACATGTTTTACTCTGTCTCTTCAGTGGACCTCGCAGATTATCATCTTTGGGCCTCTGTCATTACCAGACCACCGCGCAACCCATTTACACGTGTACAGCGAGCCTCGTGTTGCCTTTCTCTTTTGTATTTGGCGATGGCGTGTAACGCCATGTTTTATCAAGTGACTGGAGTTTCAGATGAAGTGATTCAGATTGGACCATTGAAAATGTCACTACGACAATTGATAATTGGAATTGAGAGTTCATTGATTGTTGCCCCAGCAAGTGTTTTGATAACTGTGTTATTCCGTTACAGAAAGGCTAAAACAATCTCGAGTGAAGAGACCGAAGAAGACAAAGCCACTAGAAAAAGCGTTTCAAAGAAATCCTGGACTAAAAGGCAATGTTTGCTACCTCATGCTTTTATGTATCTTGGCTGGTTTCTCTGTACTGCGGCGATAGCGTCTTCTGCTACTGTAACAGTATTTTACAGTCTTCAATGGGGGAAAGAAATTGCAGATCAGTGGCTCGCTTCTGTAGTTGTCTCTTGTATCAAGGATGTTTTCATCTGGCAACCATGCAAAGTTTTATTCTTTACTCTTTTGTTGATCATTATCTTCAGTAGGCCGAAGTCTCCCGACGAGGTGAGTAATAGCGTTGCATCATCGTTTACAGAGGAGATGAAGGAGCTGCGTGCCTATCAATTACAAAGGGCAACGTTTTTTCGTTTTGCAAGACAGTTTGGCGCCTTTATGGTGTTTTATGTGTTGCTGATGATCGTTACCTATGGGGATAAAGATTATCACCGATATCTCATGACAAAAGGAACTAGAGATAGCTTCACCTACTTTGACAAGGTTTGTGCAGATCATAATGATCATTGCCCATTATTTAAATTAAAGTTGAATTCGATGATGGTTGTTTCGATAAATCATCTAACGTCCATGTTCGTCGTCACATTTTTTTAATAGAATATTTAGTACATATCTCATAGTTTACACAGAGGAAACAGCAGGCATGTATCAGGAGTATGTTAGTCAACAAACTTTGTAGGGATAGTATTGACGAATTCTTTGTTTTTAAACAGCATANTAATATACATCTCTAGCACGGGGAAAAACTGAGTGTTCAAACAGAGAACTGTTCACCCGTATTTCCTGTAAGCACAAAATGACAAGAGGTAGATCAGGCCCTGGTTGTTCGAAAGGTGGATAACGCTATCCACCGGATAAATCACCATCTAGCGGATAGCGTGGTTTGTTTTGTAAACACTTATCCACTGGATAGTGATTTATCCGGTGGATCGCGTTATCCAGCCTTCGAACAACTGGGGCCAGAACAGTGTAGATCGTGATTAATCTGCTAAGTATTGAGACGTTCAGTTCGATGGAGAGAAGAGAGATAAAGAGAATAAACTGTTCCAAGAGGTTACCTGAGCATCGCCAAATGATCGACCGTGTGTTGCTAGTAGATACCCTGCCATATAGTCCGGTAATACCTGCAACAAATTATAAATTCACATAGGATTATGACAAACCTTTTTCCTTATTCCATACAGTGAGATATTCTAATGCCAACAGGAGTGTTTTGTGTGCTTTAAACAATGACTTTCAACGAATGGCATTTGCAGAACAAAAATTCTGGACAGTGTGCTCGCAAAGATGTCTTGCTTTTTGCGTGTTCTTTGTTTTTTCTTCGTGATTTACTTGGAATTTAAATCTGTTTATTCTACTATTTTCGTTTCACTAATTACGCAACCGTAAAGCACTTTTTGCTTTCCAATGAAACACCAAGCAGAAAAAAAAAAATTGCGTTAAAACAAAAAAAATTCACCATGATTGTTAACAATATCAGTGGCTCGTGTTGTATACTGCATTGGTATTAATTCACGTTTGGCGCCGATCATCCATTATCCACGACAAAGCCGCCAGAACCTGTCTGACCGGTTTTTACCTGATGGTAGATGACGCTGACCAGCAGCTCATTATCAAGTCTCAGGCCTTGTAGCCACAACACACGGCGGAAACACAAGCTGAAGGCGAATTCCTGTCGCTCCATAGAACTAACCACATCCATAATGTAATCTGTGGTCTGAACTGGCACCATTACGTTTTCTATCAAACACAATAGGGAAGTTAACAGCAGCACAACACAATAAGACAAACAAGACAGACTAGTACACGATCTTCGCTATGACTGATGAAGGAAACATGGCAGTTTTTTTAGACACAGAAAACACCACACGATAAAACTACTACTCTCAAGACATTTAAAGCCATTGCTCTTTATTGCAGACTTACGTGCTTCCATGAAGGTGAAAAGTCCGTACTCTTTGTAATGATTTTCTGACATCAAATCCATATCATTACATATTTCCTTGATGACGTCAAAACCAGTCTAAAGGAAAACAATTAACCAAGTGAGTACTTTGACCAACTGTCCTTTTGAGCAAAATAGCAGTCAAAATATCGTTTCCAAGAGCTCGATCAACCCTTCGATAACGAGTTTCGCGTGAAGTTCGGAAGGGAAACAAGTGTGGTGTGCCGTGTCAAAACAGCGACTCCAATAGAAAGAGCTCGTCACATAGTAAACTTGAAATGTCTAAATCCTGGTTTGACCTTGTTCTAAACCGCTGTCTGACACTACTCCTTAAGTGATTGGGTGCAGCGTAGGTGAAAATGCAAATGAACAACTACACCATTACTAACGTTAACGAAATAAATCAACTGGTACTCACTGAACTGGTTTGAACTTTCAACATTCGAGTTCCTCCAGGGAGAACAAAGACCTGTCGTTTGGTCTGTCGTCCTTGCTACAAAAAATAAGAATAATACAAAATTCACTACAAATAAATTAATATTCAGAGAGGAAGCCACATGAGCCTGATCAGGTTTTCACGCGGCTCCTCCATCCTGATCGAATTGGAAGTTGGAAATGTTGGTTTTTCAGGAGGGAGAAAAGCCGGAAAACTCGGAGAAAAATCCTGGGAGCAAGGCGAGAACCAACAACAAACTCAACCCACATATGACACCGGGCCAGAATTGAACCCACATTGGTGGGAGGCGAGCGCTCTCACCACTGCGCCATCCCTGCTCCCAATTAAGCTGTGTATATTTCAGTTTTAATACTCACCACTAGTTGGCTTAATTCTTCTCTGCTGGGAGGTGTTTTTCTTCCACCATACTTGAACGTCTTCATTAAATTCATTTCACACGTGGCTGCCGCACCTTAAACACAAGAAACATTCCATTTGAACTCTTCACCCTGGAACAGGAGCAGGTTAACTGAGATATCTTACCGATGGCGCATCTTGAAACATTCAGCCTAAGTTTTTCATTCACAATCTCATTATTTATACGTAGCCCCCCTCATTTTTTCTCTGTTTATCGTTACCTCTTTTTTCAATATACAATACATTTAAGCATTACAAAGAATGTCTTAATTCACACTTTCATTTCAACTGTGGTGTACAGTTTATGCCAACACGGTTCCAAAAAAATAAACCAGTTAAATCATTGAAAGCAAAAGATGTTCATGAAATCGTCAAACGCCTCGTTTACGTTTAACACACAAACTAACCATGAAACTCTCTTTTGGGATCACTAGCCGTGCTCTGTAAGAACGTGACCAGATAAGGCGTGAAAACATCTGAACACTCAATGTAAGCTGTGATGATTATCAGCAGTCGCCAGCCTCGACTTGCGCTCTCACTACAACACAAACATTACACGAATTAGTTCCCTCCAGCCTTCAAAATGAGACAAATCACGCATGGAAACATGAGACGTGTCACGGAGTGGTAGCCCTATTAGACAAATCACGCAACGAAACACGAGAAATGTCACGGAGTGGTAGCCCTATTAGACAAATGACGCAAGGAAACACGAGAAGAGTCACGGTGTAGCAGCCCTATGAGACAAATCACGCAAGGAAACACGAGGAGTGTTACGGTGTCGTAGGCCTTTTTCCCTTTGCCTATATACTGTTGAACTTCACTGTGTTGGTGCGATTTCCAACGAGACCATGCAAAGAATATAAAGGACTGAAATAGGTTGGTCATTTTTGTCAACGAGCTGCAAAACATCGAGAATTCAGCGAAGTATACCCGTCTCCCCTCCCGTGTTTACTGATGGCGCAACTGAAGAAATCTGCGACGCAGTAAGGAAAACAAGAACATCGATGGCAAACAAGGTTTACGCCAAGAATCTGTTGTACTTACGGCTTTTGGCTCTTATTGCTGGTGACTTGCTTGATGAGTTGACAGTAAACCTCGTCTCTTAGGTCTGGGATTTCACGGCACGTCTACAAATGAACCACATGATAAGAATACGCTGTTAGTATGCAGGTTGACCGATAAAATCCACGTCTCTCTAAAATCTTCATTTGTCTGTTTTTAGACATCTTCTTTCAAGCCTAAATTTAACACAGTCACTGAAACGATGGGCTTGGTACGCCACGAATGCATAGGGAATAGGCCATATTCGTATTCTCGGTATAGGACTGGAACTAGCTTGAAGTAGAGGCTCATGCGGGAGAGTTTCGTTTGCAGTTGAATAGACTCCCCACATCAGCCTCAGTTGCAAGCTAGTTCCAGTCCAATGCCGAGAATACGAATATGGCCTATTGAACAATTGTTATCCCCCTCGAGGTTATCGCCTCGTTACTGGGTTTGCCAACGACCTACGAGACTAAAAGAAATCTTGCACAGTTTCGCTTCAAACTCTTACAAGCTTTAAAGCAACGGCAACCGGAGGTGGCGCTGAATTTTTGCTTCAAATCGCCGTGAAATTCTTGGGTCACCATTGTAATGAAATTTTCGAGGAGTATAAGGGACGAGCCTTTCACATTTTACGAATTGAGCTTTCAAACAGACGCTTGAGCATTTTGAGGATGAATCATGACAAGATCGCTTGGTTCGTCCTTGCTATTGCCTTCAGTATAGATGACAAACACACTACTGTTGTAAGGATGAATTAGGTGTTTAAACCCACCTTCAACAAGTTGAACACAATCTCTGTCTCTTTTAGATGCTTGGACATCGGTAAGTCTCCCATGAACTTCATGATCACTGCAAAATAACAAAACGTACAGCACATTGTCATAAAGGTAAAGAGGTAAATTCTACGTCAGGCCAGTGGCCCATCAGGCCGGAGCTTATCCCGGTATTTGTAGCATGAAGCGACTAGGTGTGTTTCTACTCCCCCCTGAATGGGATGTTAGTCCGTCATAGGATAACTGACCCCCAGCAAAATTCACTGGTACACATTTATACACCTGGGTGGAGAGAGACACTGTGAGAAAGTGTTTTGCCCAAGAACGTAACACGATGTCCCCGACCAGAGCTCGAACCCGGACCGCTCGATCCGGAGTCGAGCGCACTAACCATGAGGCCACCGCGCCTCCCACATTCACACATAGTCATTAATAACGACTAAATCTTGAACTGTTCGGTATAACAATGAGACAGCACCAAGTCAATATTTTAGGTGACACTCACGGTCAACGATATTAAAATCGAACGTTGGTTATAAAGTTGCGGTAACAGTAAAAGTACAGATTGGAAAGATGAGCTAGGGAGCTGTAGTTTGCATGTTGAATCTTGAACTATTAACTCCAGCAATGGTTTTCATTTACATTACTGTAATGTACTTACTTTGGAAAGTCTCCACTGCTAGTTTATTGAGCTGTGTAGAGTCAAGCCTCACAAGTGATGTTTGAATTGGGACCTAAACAAAGAAAGCGATTCAATAAACAGTTATCAACTGCTTTAAGGACAATTTCTGAAAATTATGCGGGATTAATTAATTACTTGGGATAAAAGTACGTGCGCGAAACCATGTAACCCGTGGAAAACGTGGGGAAATATGGGCAAACAGGTAACCAGCGAAAAAGCGCGGAAACCATGTAACTAATGGAAAAGCGCGGGAAACCGCATGACCAGTGGAAAAGCTCAGGAAACTGCGTAACCGCTGGTAAGTACGGGAGGAAGTCGTGTATTCGGCAAACTTATGTGAATCAAAAGACACACCACCACACCTAACAACTATAAGATGAGTACGAACTTACCCTGCTGTACTTGACGAGTTCAGCTAATCCACTCCACGTCCACTCTGCTTTATCTTTCTTATGACTTGCTGTTTGTGCAAACAAAGAAAATGAACTTTAAACACCCCACAAGATAACAACAAGTTGACGCTGTCCAGGGATATAATTCTAAGAAAAAAATAAACCCCCGCACAGGAACTTCTTGGAAACATGGCGTCCCCTTGCAGCGTCATGTCCGTTTCAGAGTTTTGGTAACAAATTCGCAAGGGCCTTTTTTGTGGTTATAGAAATACTCAATATTCGAGTTTTTGCACCAAACTTACCATGAACAGCTTTTGTAATTGAAAGACTACATTCTGGATCTTGTAACTTAGTAACTTAGCAGCACATTCAGTAAAACGAAAAAACACACTAACCTTTGGACGATCGTCCCAGAGTTCCTCGCACCTTAACTGTACCTCGGATGGTACCGTCCTCGGCCCGTACCAGAGCGTCTCTGTAAAAATACAGGCAGAGCATCGCCAAGGTCAAATTTCTACTTAACAATTAGATTATGAGCTTGAGATTTTGATAGCGTGATAGTTGACGAGGGTGCCGCTACGAGTCGAATATCACGCATAGAAATAGAGAGTAGTATATTTCTGATAGTATTCGAATACTCTAATAGTTTTAGTATAAATCTGCTATAGTTGTTCAAAATTTCACAGACACTTCGAAAACGCTAAAAGGGGCCGTCATCTTGTTACCAACCGCACACTGCTGGGCTACTCGCCATCTACAGCAGAATAGCTAGAGAGTAGCGTCGCCAATCAAAGAACGGCATTCCGAATAGAACGCTAGTAGATTTTATACGAATTAAAAAAAAGATAAAACAGCGGCACACAAACAAATCCCATAGATAAGTGCACCGCGTGGGTTGTTTTCAGTTTCAATTATTTGCGACTTGGCCCTAAGATAAGACAAGAACCTTTAAGTATCAAATGTATTTAGCCCTAGCAGACTAATTGGGCCACTAAACAACAGCCTTAAGTACTAACACTCATCTTTACAAATCCATAAGTTATGGTTGGGTTTAAAATACCTAAAACACGAGCACACAATTTTTCACCACCACCACTACTCACCTTCCATATCTGAAGTAATGCATGGCAAACTCCATCATGGAGTGTTTATCGGAATTATATTGTGAATTGTCAGACTTGGTGGACTTGACACTTCCGGTTCGGCCACGTGACTCGCCAGACATCGGTCCGTCCGAGTCCAGACTGAGCAAACTCCCCACAGAAGCCGCTTTCACCAGATTACTAGGACGTACTGCGGGCACCGCTTGAGGGTCCTGAAGGTCACACAACAAATTCAGTCACTTCTGGTTTTTCAAGTTCAGTTTTTGAAATGAAATCGGCTCAACTGCGAGCCGGAGAAAAAGGGAGTTCTAAAAGCAAGCACGACGACGAAGCTTAGGACAACGTTGAGGTTACCGTTGTGGTTTCTTAAACTCTCGTTTTCAAGCTCAAAGTAGGAAGCTGGCGAGGGGTAGGGTGCAGATATAGCAAAAAAAAAAAAAAAAAAAAAGATAACACCAACTTCAAAATCTCCCCTTACTCCAAGTTCAATGAAATAACCTTAAGTAAAGCGTATTGTAGTTAGCAAGGAGAAATTATAATACACTTTTCTGGAGATACTCTGCAAAATAAAATCTCAGAAAAAATGAAAAGAAACTGCTATAATTACATGAAGTATTACAAATCGCCATCAATTTGCCGAGGACTGAGAGCTTACTTCGCCCGTTGCTTTTATCTCATATGTTTCCTGTAGGCAAAGACCGGCGAAAAGCTCTGGATTTACATGTTGGGAAAATTTATCCACGATTCGTATGCTGGTGAATGGTACAATGGCCAATGGGAAAAGACTCCAGAGTATATAGGCAATAAAGTTTCAATGCTCATTGGAATGCCACGTCTTCGGCAGCTGAGGATACAGGAAGGTAAATTACCTATGTGTCTTATTATTATCTTTTGGGGGACGGGCTGCAATTTCAGGAGAACCAGTATTATTAAATACTAGATCATTTGATAATGCAATTCAAGAGTTTTCATTGGCTTTGCTATCGTGAGTTATGAGCAATTACCCTGCAACTGCAAGGAGATAAGATCAGGAACGACTTATAGTCACTCGCTACTGAAAACCAACCCCACCGTAGAAGTCTATAATTGCAACAGGATTATAAATTTTTAATGTACTTGTTTCAACATAGATTCCTGCCGAGTGGTGAAAGAGTTTGAGACGATCATTGACAAGTGCTACGATTTCTATTCGATGTCAGAGGAGGATACTACTCGTCTCTATCTCCCACATTGGATTCATTTGTCAGACGCGCAGCAGGGTTGGACCAACCTGTCACAGCTCTGTCCCAGGCCATGGCGTTATTCGTCGCCAGAAGAGCTTAATAATGTTCCTTCATGGGCACAACATCATATATATGACGGCGGCGGGTATGTGCTTGACCTTGGGTACGATAAACCAACTGCTATCCGTATGATGGAAGGCGTCAAAGACAAGGACTGGATTGACAGAAGAACAAGGGCCGTTTTACTTGAATTCCAAGTTTTAAACTTAAACACTAATTTAATGAGCATTGTAACATATCATTATGAGGTTCTACCGTTTGGATTTGGGCTTACTTACGAGAAGATTGACACGATAAAAATATTCAATTTCCAAAATCTATCTTATAGTTTTTACATAACGTGCCAACTGTTGTTTATGCTTGTAGTATTGGTGTACGCCATCATCCTTTTAGTCAGACTATATCGCCAAGGATGTGCATTTTTTAAACTCATATGGAACTGGATAGATATTGCACAAATTATGAGTGCCTCACTTGCTATTGTGTTCTACATTATAAAGGTGAAGTTTATGCATGATAGCATTCAAGAACTGCAAAAAAACCCTTTTGTCACAGTGAGTTTTCAGTTTGCAATTTTCTGGACTGAGGTTGAAAATGCTGCCCTTTCTCTTGCCTTATTCATTGCCACTTTTAAAATTCTTCATTTTATTCGTCTCAATCCACATGTGCAAATCTTAGCTTGGACAATTATTACGGCGGGAAAGGACATTTTGTCATTCTGTGCTCTCTTTGGGATTCTTTTTTTAGCACACGCCCATTTTGCTTTGTTAGCTTTTGGTAGCTCTGTGTTTTCTTTTTCATCCTTTCCCCGCTCGTTTGCTTCCGAGTTTGAGCTCTCGCTAGGCAACACAATTCACGTTGTAGAGATTAATGATGTGAACAGAGCTTTAGGTTCACTTTTTACCGCCAGTTTTATGCTGACACTTGCGGTTCTTCTTGTCAATATTTTCGTATCTATTCTCGATATAAATTTGCATGACGTAAAAGAGGACGAAGAGAAAGTCCAAGAAGCGTTCGGAATGGGAAAGTTTATTGCGACGTTTTTGTTTGGTTTTAATCGCAAGGCCACAACGGAGGACACCCAGAAGTAAATTTGCAAGTGAAAAATAGCTGATTACGAAAGCTTGCTGGCTGGCTTATTGAAGGCGACTTGCTAGAAATTGCAGAAATATATTACCAGGAAAACAGAGCATAATTGTACAATTACTTTTGTACTCTAGCATGTATTAAATAATAATGTAATCAAATTAAAGGAGGCACGATGATTAAAAAATTCAGTTCAACGGTTGCGTTTGCTCCTCATCGTTTCTGCAACCTCCATTCTGAGCAAGTCCCACACTACTCTACCAAGTCTTTTACTGGGAGGTTCCGCGCCGAGGTCCAAACTCTTATCCTTTCCTGTACCACATGGAGAAAAGGTACCGCTTTCGTTACCTTTTATTGAAAAAGGGTACCCCTTTAACATACCTACTTATATTAAAAACAATGAAATAACGTAATGTGTAAGTAGGTTATGCCATAATAAGTAATTATTGTGTATTGTGACAAAGTAAGCGAGTAACGTAATACAAAGTATTGTAAGTTAGTAAAAACATTAAACAGGAACAACAACAAAAAAGAACATTGCATCCCTATTCTAAACCCCTAGAACGATCCTGATAACCGTAGTCTTCGTCTCAGAATTTTTGCGGACGTTTCTTTACCGAATTTTTTTGGCCGAGGAGAATTGTTTTGGCGGATCGTGAGCAGCAGTACCGCACAGTAGAGAGTATCTAAAGTTGGGAATATGAGGAGCGAAAATTGATGTTCGAGGACCGATCAAGAAGTGGGGCTTGGGGTGGAGGAGGGAATTTAAGCCTTAGAGAACATACCTGTGGAAAGTAAAAAAAAATTAAGGGTTTAGAAAATTTAAAAAATTACTTTCAGCACTAGCACGTAAATCCGGTGTTAATTGAGCTATTTAGTAAATAATATCACGGGTGATAAATTAATTCCTATTTTTGTTGAGAAATTTCAGCGTTAATCATAACAATCTATTTTGCACTAGTTAATATGCAAAGTTGTAATCGGACAGTGTAATCGGACAGTGTAATCGGACAGTTATTTGTAATCGAACACGTCTAATCGGACAGTTACAAGAGCCAAGTCCTCTTAGCTAAATCTACCAAGCACAACATTGACCACAGTCACTATAGTAACCAATTCCAATGACTGCTTTTGTAAAATTATTGTCATGGTTTATCTCTGGGTGGCTGTTTTCAAATAAACTTACCAGCCATTTTTCAAGCTCGATTGTTCGGAAATTGCAATCATCATATTTTGCAAGTTTTTAAATAAGACTTTTTGTTTTGGTGGGGGGGAGGTTGGATTGAAATGTTCATGATTAGTTGGTAACAGGACATTTTGTACACGTCTACTGTCTGCTTCGCGGGCGTCCGATTTTGTTAATCACTCGTATGATTGGACTTCACTTAGTCCTATTACCATTGTTAATTTATAATTTCACATGCGAAATTACAAAATTTTCTGGCAAAAAACACACAGCTGTAAGCGTAATTTGTCACTTTTGATATTAAAAGGTAATCAAATGGTATACTAGTGAAATTAAGAAATAATCTCATGCACGTTTTCTCAAAATTCTACTAAAAAGGCAAGGGACATTGTAAGAACTTTGACAAAACGCGCGTGAAATTTTTTCGTAATTTCACTCGTCGCCATTTGATTACCCATACTAATCACTCATGTCACAAGTACTTCTTTGTCAAGTGTTAAAGGATTGAAGAGTGATTAGGGTGCCGGACTTGAAATCCAGAGGTCGCGGGTTCAAGTCCCACTCTGACCAGCAAGCTGGAGCTGTTTCGCGGTAGACCCTAGTTCAACTCCTCGGTCGCTTGTAAATAGTTAACTGGTCTGCCTTCTGCCAGTTGGGATTTTAACCATGTTATGTTTATTTGTATTATTTGTTTCATCACTTGGTTTCAATGGCCATGAAAAGCCCCATTGGGAGAGTGGTCATTTAAGATATTTATTTATTTATTTATTTATTTTATTCCTTGCTAAGAATTCAAAGCTGCTATGTACGTACTCAGTGATACTATCGGAAATAAAATGACTAAACCTGACCCAATAAAGTTGTATGGCTTATTGCAGTTTAAATCCTTACACAGGAGTCAAGTTGAAACAATCCTATAAAGACATTGCACATTAGTTGATCCACCAGTGTTAGCACTGTTTCGTTCCTCTTCTTAAACAGTGTCAACATTAAATCCTTTCGTTTGTATGAAAAAAAACAAACAAAAACAGATCGTCACGCGCGACCATCAGCTCAAAGGAGAGAAGGCTACCGAACATTCCCAAAGGGTATCCATGACAACGGACAACGGGCAAAACTTACAAACTTTATTTGAGCTTTGTGTTTGACTTTTCAATTACGGCAATGATTAAAGTTCATGTTTCTAGAACATAAACTTCCATTTATGTCCAAGTTTCATTAGGAACGCTATTTAAACATTGATGTGTTTTCGTTTTGTCTAGGAAAATAACCTTCGAGGGGCGCTTTTCCTTTCTTCTTAAACAGTGTCGACATTAAATCCTTTCGTTTGTAAGGAAAAAAAAAAATAAAAAACAAAAAAAACGGATCGTCACGCGCGACCATCCGTTCAAAGAAGAGAAGACTACCGAACATTCCCAAAGGGTATCCATGACAACGGACAACGGACAAAACTTACAAACTTTATTTCAGCTTTGTGTTTGACTTTTCAATTACGGCAATGATTAAAGTTCATGTTTCTAGAACATAAACTTACATTTATGTCCAAGTTTCATAAGGAACTCTATTTAAACATTGATGTGTTTTCTTTTTTTCTAGGAAATTAACCTTCGAGGGGCGCTTTTTCTTTCTCAATGAAACAAATTATTTAGAATAAATGTCGGTGAATAAACGTTTCGTTTATTATCAATGTGACCAAAAATACACACGTGAAGCCCCTTTCATTCTCATTCAGGGTAATTTGCAGCAAAAAATACGAGAGAGTGAAATTATTTGACTGAATTTCGAAAGTTAAATGAGATGTGTGTTTGCCTTTTTAGGTAATTATCCAGAACATTATAAGAGTAAATTATCCAGTTTCAAGGTGATGTTTCAAAAACATAGAGTTCCGTTGCCGGCCAACCGTTGTAGGACTTCTTATCAAAGATTCATAAGTTTTCATTGCCTCCATAAGGGCTACTCCCGAGAGACTCCTGACTAATAAAGATTAAAACCATTTTGTGATGAAGAATGACGAGTGCCTCTTATTTCCTTGAAAACACTTTTGGTTTGTAATCGGTGTGACCAAAGAAGAAATGAACTTAAAGTCGCCTTTAGCGTCCTTCAAGGTAATTTCATATTTGTTATTGACATAATGTAAAAAAAAAAAAAAAAAATGAAAAGCAGTAATTTCTCCTTTAATTTTGATCTTCATGCAGAAAACACTGCTTTGGCTTTTATGCCAAGACTTTATGGTGATTATTAGAGGAAGTCTAACACATGGAGGTATGTATATATGTATTGGTGATATTGCTCCGTTCAATGTTTGAGGGCTACACAATCGAGTTAAGCGAATTACTGAAATGACGTCCAGTCTCTCTTAAAAACCATTGGTTAAACAGAGATAAACCCTGCGAACCGCGAGCAAGCTGCAATGCTTCATCCCCAGCATTTACGTAATGCATTGATAAAGTCTGAAATTATCAGCCGGAGAATCTTGTAAAGTGCCTCGGTGATACATATAGGTTGCCGCGTTCATTTCATGATCAACCTTCAAAATAACCTCGTTTCACGTAGGGGGCCAAACCACCCCCAAATGTTTCGTCAGTTCTTGGGTATTTCACATTATTTCGCATTACTTAAAAAGTATTGACTCTTTCTATACCAAACTTGGCAGATGAGCAGGAGACCTATTGCCAATTACATGTACGTGAAAAATGTCAGTAAATGTCAAAAATGTGAAGTCACAGTGATGACGTCATGTTTTTTTTGCCACCTTTGAAGTTTTTATTATGCATATTTTTTACAATGTGTTCGAAAGAGCACATCAAGGGGAGTTGAAACCTGAAAAAATTTTGTCCATATCACAAAAATTAAATGAAATATGGCA